AGCCAAAGAACTATAACATCTGCTATTCTGAGAGTATTTCCTGAAAGTTTGCCACAGCTTTAGCATAAAAATGCCTGGGAAAGCTTCACCAGAGAATCCTTCTCTATCACAACAATGCTTCCCGCTCATTTATCTCATCAAACAAGGCAATTTTGTGAGAGTTTCAATGGAAGATCATTAGGCATTCACCTTACAGCACTGATTTGGCTCCTTTTGATTTTTTTTTTTGTTTGTTTGTTTCCTAATCTTAAAAAATATTTAAAGGGCACCCATTTTTCTTGTGTTAATATGGTAAAAAATACTGCATTGACATGGTTAAATTCCTGGGACCCTCAGTTCTTCAGGAATGAACTATATGGCTGGTATCAACACTCACAAACATTTCTTGAACTTGATGGTGCTTATGTTAAGAAATAAAGTTTATTTCTTTTATTTTTATCTTTTAATTCCATTTTTCCATAAACTTTTTAAAGTCCCTTGGTATGTTACACATTTTATCATCAGTATTTCAGGATGTACCTGCCAAAGAGCCCTGAATGTTGCTGTATTCTCACTCATCGTTCTCTGTTCCTCAACTGTTCTTTCTAGTCTCTGGCTCCAGACTTTCTATAAGAAAAATGCTGTAGACAGGTTAAAGCATGGCTAGAGGGATTATTCCACAGACAAAGGTAGCCTGAAATTTCTGAGAAAGTATCAATCATATTAAAATAACTGAATATAATTATATATAAACACACATTTCTTAATTCTCAGTAATAGTGCTACCAACAGAGATTGATACCTCAAGCAATTCAACATTCTCAGGTTTTCTTCCCTCCTCTGTAGAAGTAGAGTTTGAGTTACACAATCTCTAAGGTCTTATGAGATCTCTCCCACCACTCATCTCTGTTGTTGTACTACTCAAATGCTCAGGAGGGATGTAGGAATCTACTAAAGACACAATAAGGGAGAATACTAAAGGAACACTTTTTCTGGGACATCTCCCTGCATAGAACTCTATGTGAGCTCAAGACTTCTCTCTCTCTCTTTGTGTTCTACACTTAGAACTCAGGTATCTGCTCTCCAGCTGGCAGTTCCCTCTCTCTGGAATGAAGACTGAGCCAGAAAATAACAAAGATCCTTAGGGAAATGAGATTGTCTAAAAGTGGGATGGAAACAGAGGAAAAGGTGGAGTCAGACTATCCAGAACAAGGTTCTCATTCCTGGATTTTTGAAGGAAAAGGAACTATGTGAACCAGTTGCCAGGACAACCTGCTGTTGGGAAAAGCAGGGGCTGGGGCAAGGAAATGGGTTACTTGCGGCTACTCCTGTTCCTGCCCCTATCCCTGGCAGCCTTCCATGGGGTCAAAGGCTGTTTGGAGTGTGACCCCAAATTCATGAAGGATGTTAAGTCTTTGCTGGAAAAGCTGTTACCCTCAGAAGTCCCTGGTCGAGTTCAACTGCTTGAAAGGCAGATTAAAGAGACAATCCGTTTAAGCTTCAGGGTCTCCCACGGGAACAAGAGGCTTCGGGTGTTGGGTGAGGGAAGCTTGAGTCCCTGAGTTTTGGGGGTTAAAGGGAGAAGGGAGACAGGGAAGAGAGTACCTGGGTCCACATAATTTCCTCCACAGGTATAATTATTTCCCCACATGTACTTTTCTCCTTCCTCTCCAGCTGTTAGAAAGGTAGTCAAGTTGAGAATGTGGGTGAAGAATGAATTAAATAAACTGGGCAGCGAAACCTGGAAAGGTGAGGTACTGTTTCAATGTTAAAAGTTTGTATTGCCCAAGTGAGTCTGAGGAAATTTGTCTGGGGAAAACCAGGCAAAACAACTAGAATTAAATTCTGAAGGGAAGGGCCACACCTGTTTTCTTACATCCCTTTCACCCATTAGGTGTCTTTATCCTTCAAGGCAAGCTTCTCAATTTCCGCCAAAACCTGGAATCCAAACTGAAAGAAGTATTAAAGAGCTTCTCTGAAGTTGGTAATGAATGATTTCTATCTAACAACATTGAAATTATGAGAAGGAAATAGAAAATGAGGTGTGAGAGGAGGCAGGGGGGTTCATACCAAAGTCATTTAGAACGGGTGGAGGGGTAGCTGGAACTAAGGGGGTAAACAGATAAAGACAACTTGGGCATAAGTATAGTAAACCATAAGTTGATTCTGAACTCACCAGAACTTTCTGATTCTCTTTTAGCTTGTTCTGAAGATTGCAGTGAGTACAGCACATGTGACATCTTGAGGTTTCAGCCCATATTTTTCCATCTCCTTTGCTCTATATGGCCGTTTCTCTCCCACCTGTTACACTGAGCACCCAATTCCTAGAGCTGTGGTTACAATGGGGACTGCCAATAAGGTGGAATTAAAAAAAGTTCTAGCTTATGAAATCCCAGACACCCACAGATTTTGCAGGTGCTCAGATGTCTCCTAGGGTATGGTTAACAACTCATCACCCCAGTATAAGCTGAAGTATCTTTTCCCTCCAAATCTGACTTAAATTACAGATTTTGACCCATCAAGAAACAATTGCTAGGGGAAGAAAGAA